ATGTTAGTAGTACCTGTGGGTCGTTCTGCATTAGAAAGCAGGAAACATGTCAAAGAGAAAGAAGTTGAATCTAAGTATAGTATGTTTTTAAAACTGTATGATGTGAAAATATTTTTGACAAGTATCAGCATGTTCTGAATGCCAGAATAGTTTCACTCTATTCTAAGATTATCAGAGAAAGAAAGAAAGCAAAGAAGTAAGATGCAATGTCAAAAGTTTTTTTCTAGCACTACCAAAAACAGCAGATTTCAAAACTTTTCCAGTCATGGTTTTGCATATTTGGTCAAAAACCCTGGAAGGAAACCCTCAGGCTTTTATCATTGACCTCATAGTCTTTGGAAACATTGGAGCCTAAACCAAAACTAAAGACTATAGGAAGAACATTTCAGGCCACTTTTGTTCACTTTATATATTCAGTTAAAAAAGATTATTTTTCTTTTTATCATGCTGAGGAAACAGCATCCACACCTGGATCAGCATTTATTGTTCTATTTTCTAATCCCACTTTTATTTTAGGAACAAAGTGAATTTTTTAACGTGTCTTCGAGTTTGATATAAAATAACCCATGCCCTATTTTAACCTCAAATTGAGTTCTTGATGTTCCTATCTTTTATTACTCCTTGTGTTTTGGAGGCAGAGTAAATATAGATAGATAGAACAACAAATATAAACAGATATAAAAACAAATCTCTAAAAATAAGATAGAGCTGCTGTAGAATCAAAGTATTGCCTTGTAGAGCTGATGCAAGACTTAGTTATGTTACTTCTATGTTCCTGCATGTCCACAATACTCAAATTATATTGGTGAATTTATACAACTGTTAAAACTCTAGAACATGCTTTATCAATGTTGCAATGGTTGGATTTCTTCTGATGCATCTTCATCAAAACCACAGACGCTTATATATATTCATATAACCTGCTCTAGTTAAAAGTTGCAAGGGTCTCATGTTGAAGCCTTAAACGGTTAAACCCCCCCCGACTGAATGATTTGAATATCTATCAGTTGAATGATATTAAAATCTTCTCGGGTATTTTTGTAAAGTTAAATTAGTAACATAAAAAAAAAATAAAAAAACAACTTTATCTCTATTTTTTTGAAGTAAAATATTTCCCTTTTTAACAAAAGACTTTCTGATCAAAGCATTTAGATTACATATGTGTAAAAGATATTAATTCATTGCATTTATAGTAATTAAACAGCTAAAATGACCCTTTAGAAGAAACAGCATCGATATTAGAATGAAAACCTGAAAAAAAGGTTAATATTGATGTTTATTATGAAATGGAGCAAAAATTTTACATAAAAATCACAATAATACTTTAAAATCTCACATGCTGCTCATCGCTTACAGACTACGGTCATTAAAATACCTGAGTTCAAGATAATGTAGGTTTTATGGCAGTAAATACTAATACATTCATTAATAGTAAATGCACATTTTTCAGAAGTAGCTCTAATATTTTTGCCTGATAACATACAGTAATGCCACAAATACATTGGCTGATGGTCAAAAACAATGCAAGTACAAAAAGAAAGAAAAATAATTACAATGCCTTGGTCTGCTTTAAATGTTACCCTGAGCTAAACATACAATTTGTTAGATTAGGGAAAAAAAAGGAAAATATTGAGCACCTATGAATAAAAATATAAGAATGAAACAGAATTATGATTTTTTTAAAGATATAATTTCATATAAAGCACAACTGATTAACCCCTTGCCCATTACAACACTTGTATTCCATTCTAACTTGAGAATGAATGTTTTCAGTCAGTTTATAAGATGTCAAATCTCAAAGTAGAAGGATAAACTGGCACTGTGGCTGTAAACACTGAATTCGAAATAAAAATACAATGGAAAAAGAATGCAAAAGAAGAAAAAAAATAAAGCTTCACTTAATATCAGGACTTAGATTATTATATTAGGCATCCTGAGTGGAATGATTCAAGTATCTAAATTGAACCTTAAAATTATTTCACTTCTTGTGGATTCGTGGCACATTCTTTTTGTCATAAGCAATGATAGTCTGAAACACCAATTATCGACGTGTTAAGATGAGACAACGATTATATACTACTAGCCCCAGTCCCTTTTAAATATTCTACTTTTATCCCCGTCTACGATTACAGAGGAAAGAATACAACAACATTGGAACACTGTCTTCATATTAGGCAAAAGAGGACGTCATGGTAAAGCACCCATACTATTGTTCGACATATGAGGTTAGGAATAAACTGCTTTCCTGACCAAATACATTCCCAATGTGTAAAGCAAACAAAAATTCTTCTTTCATTTTCGCATCTTTGTTACATTTTTTCACATTTTGTAAAAGAGCTCAACCCTTGCTTATTTTAAAGGAACATAAACTACTTGAATTCAGTTGAAAGCCATCCCTGAGTTTTCCCGTTCTGTATTCCTCCTGGGATGAGCCCAGGAGATGAGGTATTTCTGCCATCATGTAAAACTACAGCATATACTCAAACGCAACAAAAATGAAAATAAAGAGAAGATATAAATGCATTTTACACATGGATTATGGAATTGCATTGGTTTTGGTATAGATGTGAATAACAAGGAGCTTTTCTTAAAAAAAAGAAAAAAAGGCTAAATGACCACGAAAAATAATATACTAAAAAAAAAAAAAAAAAGAAATATAAAAGGCTAAATAAATCCTCACAGTTTAGATCAGTCTTCATTATTCTACATACTTGTACAGTATGTATTGCATATTTATACTCTTATGGAGCAATATATTACTGTTACCTTGCATTCAGGCCAAATTAAATTAAGGGAATGATCTTTCAAGCACATATGTACACAGCAGTAAGAGTACCGTGATGTTTAGTTAGTAAAAACCAGATATCTTTCCAGCTTTCATTGACCTATTTGGGTTTTATAATGTATGATGATCTCTATTCAAACATTCATTGCTGATAGGCTTCAAAAGGAGCACAGGGAGAAGATGTGGTGCTTTTTTTCAGATGAAAATAAATAACTTTTTTTTTGTATTTCTTAAAAAAAAAGGCTTTAGAATAATTTTACATATATATTAATTGGGTGTTAAATTATCAGTCAACATCTCCTGTAAAACGGGAGTAAAATGCTGATTGACTAGCTAGGTCTACATGCTCCTCCTTGCAGGCTGGGTTTTCCTGAGCTAAAAGCCTACACTGTGTCTTAAATATCTACCTAAAAAAAGATCAAATAGGACATAAAACAACAACAGCAACCCTCTCTGAAGAAAAGTCTGATTCTACCTCATTTTCATTCATTTATTTTGAGCATCCAGCTTAGTGGACCCCTCAGTAACTCATTGTAAGGTTGAGTATTTATGTTATTATCTGTATAATGTAATGTTAAATATAATAAAAATATTAGTATAATCCAAGTCAATGCAAGTTAAAGTTGATTTATAAAAATGTGTTTTACAGATCAGCCAAAAGTGTGAGAATGCCAAAGAAAATACAGAAATTAGGACTTTTTACTTCAAGTCAAAAAGCAGCATTTATGTGCCCTCTGTAGGCAAGGCTTTAGCATAACTTCTTTGACTTGCTAGTAAGATAAGTTGCATTTATTTCAACAAGCTTGAAAATAGCCGAAAGCCTGTTTCAGTGTTTACATAGAAGTTAGACTTATTAGATAGCTTCATTAAACACAGAGGGGTATACTTATAAGGGTTTCTTTGTCCAATGAAAGCCCAACAGACTACATCTATGGATATCACCATATTATATAATCCATTAAAAAAGAGAAATACTTTTATTATGGAGGTTTTCATGGCCAACACACTTCTAGGGAAGACAGCCCACTTTAATGGTTCCAGTAGGATTACTGATGTCCTTCAAAATAATCTGCAAAGAGGAGAATTGCTAAAAGAACCTGGCTGTGCACAGAGTGCAGTATTCAAGCGCTTGAATGGAAAGTTGAGTGGAAGGGATGTTGTAAACAAAGTGCACAAGATACAGCGATAGCAAAGCAAATTTTTGGGTTTGGTGGAGATTTTTAAAGATGTAGATTGAGGCTGGAGTCTGTGCTATTAGGAGCACTAAGCACAGAACAGAAGCGTTGCCCGTTTTCTGTTGAAACAATCTGATGGTGATGGTGTTAAAAGCATACATTTCTTTTTTTAAATCCAGTTGTTGATTTGGAAGCCATGTCATTTCCTGTTTAGCCACAGTGTTTTTATTTTAGCCACTGGAGCTATAATACAATAATTTATGCAATAGGAGGCTGGGCTCACTTATTGAGTGCATAACCTGTACACCATAGGCATGCATTCAGGTAGGCATTTCTGCATTAAACTTCTTTTTTTTTTCAAATTTGTCTCGTGCAATATTTCAATTTTCCAAGTTGATGAAAATCAAATGATACTAAATCACTCTGTGTTTAATGAATCTAATGAACAGGCTTCATGTTCACATTCTAGTTTTAATTTTAGCAAAAAGCTTTTTAATGATGTTCTAATAAATTGTAGTTCATCTGTAGGGCTGGATAATATGCATTCATACTTCACAGTGGGAAGTTTTGTATCACAGAACCAGACGGAGTGTGCATAGCTTAACATGGGAAGTTTAAACCTAGTAATCTCATAACTTGAAACACTGACATCGCAGTCGGCACATCGGAGAGCTTCCTGCCAACTTCTGACATTTGGACATTGTTTCATGAAAAGAAGCAAAAGAGCCACTGAGGTGTGATCATTGGTTTTCTTTGCCTTCAGATTTGACTGAAATGAAAAGCGTTCTTCAGAAATCTACTGACCTTGTAACACTACCCATCAACCACAGAGTGGTTTTAGTTTCTCAGATCTCACCCGTACAGTGCAGTACATTGTGGAACTGCTGCAAGTCCGGTTGCCGAGTTACTCTTTAAGGTGGTAAATGATGGATGACTTCCATCCTGCATACATTCTGTAGTGCAAAAAGGATTTGATTTAATCTCAACTAAAAATCAGATATCTATAAATATTAGACCAAACATGCACTAGTGAGGTAGACCGAACCTACCAGCAAAATGCTGAGTATAAAAAAATGAAATAAAATAAAATAATGGACCAAAACCCAGATAACACCTCTTTTGGTCTGACATTCATTTGGCCCCAGGAATCTGGATGGTCAACAGCAACACTGGCAAATGTCACTACAGTGCTTTGCCGACACCAATACCCTTTAAACCCGTTTTGTGTTTTTTTTTACCCCCCCAATCCTTCCCCTACATGATCTGGAAGCTAACATTCATCACAGAGACACTGTCCGGTATATCTCTGCTTTGTCGAGAGTAAGGTGTAACAGTCAGGAAGGAGAGTGAATGATAAGGCAGCAAAAGTTTAGGACTATTCTAAACCAATTGAGCATAATGCAAAAAACGCACACACACACAAAAAAACAACAACTGATAAATCTCCCAATGAAAATATAGCCAACTGAAAATAATCTGTAGCCGTTTGTGTTTTTATCTCTAAACTCGACACGTAGCAGCAGCTACACTGGTAGCAGTTATTACACTATTTGAACTTCCTGAGTGCAAAATTCAAGCTGTATTCCTGAGTGTTACACCAAATTAAAACAATAAAACAAAACATTCTTCATGAGTGTTTTTTTTTTTAACCTGAGGTAATTCCAAAAGCAGCTTCAATGGGTGAGAAGGGGATTTTTGTCTCCCTCCTCAACCGTCAAAGCAGTTTGATTGGCTCTTGTGCTTCGGCGAGGCTCGGTCTCCTGTTTAATCAGAGGTCTCAGGAGGCGCCGCCGGTTGGCTGTGCTCCCCTTCGTCTCCCTTCAAGGGCGACGGTTTTCCCTGAGAAGCCGGCGAGGACTGTTGTTGTTTGACTGGGCAGCTGGCGACCATGTGGTCGATGCTCTGGCAGAAGTGGCACCTCTTGGGCTGGGGTGGTAACTTGCACTCTTTGGCGTGGTGATCTAGGCCTCCACAGTTATAACATCTATGAGAGAATGCACATAAAGCTGTTAGCATAACATAAACCACCTGAAAAAAAAAAAAAAAAAACTGACTGCCCTGCTAACAAGTGAAATGGTTGACCACTGTGTTGACCATCGGTTGAAGGGTGAAAATGCTCAGAGGTTGGAATATTTTAGCCCAACGCTGCTGTGAACCCCACCATGTTATAACTGTCTGCTGTGCTTCTTCAATATGCCATTTGTTTGCAAATATTATCTAACAAACCCCTAAAGCCTTTGCAGAACATCAATTTTTCTGTCATAATCCCAGTTGGGGTTGCCAGAGGTGCTGGTGCCCTTCTCCAGCTGTCTACGGCGAGAGGCGGGGTACACTCTGGACATGTCGCCAGTCCATTGCAGGGCAACAAAGAGACAAAGAGGACAAACAACCATTCACACACACACACACACACACCTAAGGAGAATTTAGAGAAGCCAATTAACCTAACAGTCATGTTTTTGGACTGTGGGAGGAAGCCGGAGTACACGGAGAGAACCATCGCATGCTCAGGGAGAACATGCAAACTCCATGCAGAAAGACCACAGGCTGGGAATGAACCGGCATCCCGAAATCTTCTTGTTGCAAGGCAGCAGCGCTACCCACGCGTCACTAAGCAGCCCCCTTTGCAGAACAGCTGAGACTAAATTATTCTTAGGTATATTTCTTATAAAGTAAGTGAATTCTGAGTGTGTGGGTTTTTATTTAGGGATATCAGAGGAAAAGAGGATCAGTAGTTGGACATGTGTCACGTTTAGGACTCATTTGGTTAAACAACAACATATATATCCACACACACACATATATATATATATAGTCTATAAATGGAAAGAGAATTATTTTTTGCCACTAGAGGGCAATGTTTCTCCTGTTAAACCTTTTGAATTATGACACTAATCACAGAATATTATCAAAGATTAAATATTTTGACTAGTAGTTTAGTAAAGTTACCAGAGGTTTTTCTTAAGAGTTGTGGTCAATTTGTGACATTTGTCATGTGTCGCAGAGAGGACCTTCCAGTTGGGGTCGGTTGATTCAAAGCGTGGCACTCGTGTCATCACCATTGAACTTTAGAAAGACTTCAGTGCCTGTGGGGTCAGTTTGAGGCATCAGGCAGCCATCGGCCACCACTGTTAGAACATCGTCAATAGAATAGCCACGCGTATATGGGTGGAAGACAGATGGGTAGTGGGAGTGGGGCAGTTATTGGGTTCCTCATTGGACCCCGCCGGACCCCTTTGTGTTAGCAGATGAAGTTTGGACAGGGTCGGTTTGGCTTTGTGGCTCTGGGTGTTTGAGTGGTGTCAAGGTCTATACCGTCACCATCGTAGAGACTCCCCACATCAGCATCCATCAGGGGGAAAGTGGAAGTGGTCCCTTTGTCTAAAAAAGCTGCAGTAATGACCTCTGAACCCTGACCTCCAACCTCCCTTCAATCCCATCCAAGCCCCCAGCCCTCTTCCTTTTATTCATACACAGTTGCTATGGCAACTATGACCCTTAACGCCCTATGCCTGGGCTTCTGCATCTGTTATCAATTAAATGGACAGGAACTTTTTTCCTCTCTAAAGTGATATAGATAGTGATCTGTGAGTTTAGCAGGGATTTCAACCAAACTAAAACAGTAGCAGAATAGCAGGGATTGTTTCAATTATAATTATATATATATATATATATATATATATATATATATATATATATATATATATATATATATATATATATATATATATATGTGTATATATGCAACCATGCAACCAGAGCACAATCATGTGTTGCATAATATAAAGCGGAATAAGGAGAAAACATCTTATCCATGAATAAAAACAATCTGAGGACAACTATTGAACCACAGCGGCCTCCCAGGACTCTTTGAGGGTGTAATGATCGCTGTTCTCACACTTCCTTCGCTCTGGTTGTAATCACAGCTGACATGTGGCGAAGTTGATACATGATCTAACCTTGCATCATACTGACACCCGGAATGATCTGCCAACCCTGATATCTTTCGCTTATTTCTCTTTGGAAAAGAACCACATTGCTACCTTGTACCACATTCTTTTGGATCTTAAGGTGACTTAACATTCAAATTCGTAATTTTAGAATAATCTTTTTTTATATAAACATCATGATTTTAGAGCAATTAGATTTGAGACCAAATCTTACTTAGGTTAGATTTTTTTAAACACTTTTGAGACATGGATCTAGATCAAGTCATTATCCAAAGGTTATTTGGTAAATGTTTCGATACATGGATGCCTGCAAAAATTTCAAATTCCCCCTAAAGAAATTCCTAGACTAACTTTGCAACTTGCATAATTAGAAAAAAAAATTAAGGAGAATTTACATCTGTCTTTAAAGTATTTTTGAGGGGTTTAAAGTAAAACGTCTTTCTTTGAAGAGGGTTTGTAGGAAAAGGAGAAAAAGTGAGCAGATCTGAATTCACCAGGGACCAGCAGATTTAAACAGTTATTGATCCAGGTCACACGTCAGGCCCTGCTGATGTGACCCTCATGGAAGCCCAAAGTGGGGGGTTGGGATCCAGGGAAAAAGCACACAAAAAAGAGAATCTACGACATGATTTTATATTTGATCCAACTAGCACTCACATGCAGCCAACAGTCACGCAATCTTTCCCACAAAACAACTGATTTAAAGTTTTAAAGCCAAACCATCACATGTTCTTTACCGACTTACTTCCTATTAGCCAATATTTGGACATGCATCTTTAAAAAAACATATCTAAACAGTTTATGACTCTGCATTCGCTGATTGTTTAATTGTACTAATTGACTAATGAAACCAAAACAGAGCATAATAAATACGGTACCGTAAATCCCTTCTTTTGGCTAAATTTCTTTTTTTACATTTAATAAATGAAATAAGAAGTTATGACAAGTTAGACTGTAATTTCACAGGTCCAAATACTATGATGGAGAACGATAAAAAATAAAACAGAAAAAGGGGCCTATTTAACAAATCACACACTTTGATGTGCTGAATGTGCCCAAAGATATGGTTGCATTTATTTTTGCTGTTCTATAACCTATTCCCATTATTAGTCAATCAAAAAAAAATGTCCCTCTTGGTTAAGTGATTTGCTCAGGTTAATTTCGATGGTGATGTATTTAACAGCTATACTAAACAGATATAGTTTGCTATTTCCAACAAGGTCTTGAGGGTTTGCTCCAAATAAGGCCAATGCTTGCAAGCACATCATACCAGAAAGGCCTTGCATTTTGTAGGTCCACTAAAAAATTTCTAAGATGTATATCATTTTGATTGGTAATTTCTTCCAAAACAATCAGTTTCAATTACTTTAATTGTCTCCTGTGTTCTTAAAAAAATTGTTCACAAAAAAGCTGAGGTGAAATTATTTGCAGTATTTGCTACCATTTCAAAAATATATTTTTATCCCTGAAATGCATCAAAGAAATGGCCTTTTGTGTCGATTCAGCTTATCTGTCTTTAAATTGTGAAGTAACTTTCAAGGCTATTCTCTCCAGAGGATCCTAATTTCTTATCTGGTGCCTCTGACAGAATACATTTCAGAAATATAATTTTTTTTTGTCCAAAGTAATTAAAATCACCCTTAGTTGAAAAAAAAAAATACTTTGTTTCATTAAAAGCACTAAATGTGCAACTCGGCTGATAAAATATAGACAAGTTCTGAATAATAGGGGTTTCAGGCTTCAAAGTGTTAAGCTTGAGCAGCACAAGATATTTACTTTTTTTTTTCTTTTCGTTTTGTTCTGGCATTATGATCTAAATACTGAAATTGTAAATAACTAATTGGACAGAAATGTATTCAGTTTCTGCAAATTGAACATGTATGTAGCAACAAATGTTGCAACATACAACACTTAATATAGTCATAGAAAGCATTTGGGATAGAAGTGTTATTGAAAGAGTAGTGTAAGAAAATAAGTATTTTAATTGTGATCAAAATCATCATAAAAATTTCAAGGAAAAGTATCCCAAATATGAATATAACTGAACATTACTCAGCCTTTGTTGAAACATATTGATCTTGTTTCTATGGTGTTCAAGGTTTATTTCAGAGCATCTATTTCTTTGATTTCTTATTCAAAACCTTGTTGTTAAGTTGTTAAAATATCTTTTATACTTCCTCTCAGTTTGCTTTTCTTACCTGTCTCCCTTTGAACGACGCTTTTGGACTTTTTTGCCCTTGGGCCTCCGCTCGCTGCCGACACAGTGGATGCCACCGGGTCCAGTAACCCGTTGCGACTCCAGGCCCTTCGATGACTTCTTGAAGGTGAACTCCACCGCTTCGCCTTCCTTCAGGCTGCGGAATCCTTCCATGTGCAGCTTGCTCTAAAAGAAAACGAAGCAGCGGTTCTTGTGATTTTGAAAAAAAAAAAAAAGATTTATGTAATTTATATAAAATTATATCTCAGCACGTCTGACTGAGAGATGATTGATTTCTCTTTAACTTGTTTGCAGAATACAAATAGGATGAATTTGATGTTTAAAAGTACCCATATATACCAGATTAATTTCACCACATGCCTTTAGGAGTCTCTGACCCCTGAACTTTAATTCCTGCTTGATATAATCAGTATACAATCAGTACCAACAGCTTTTATCAAGTATCTGGTATTGTATGCCTGTCCGCTAATCAACAAGCCAAACAAAGCTTAGCACACCTACTCTACAACTAATTCTAGGATCAAGCGATGGTGACAAATTGCTGCATTTGCTTCTCCTTATTTTACTGCATTTAGGAGAAAAACCTGACAAGGATAACCTTTAATCAACCCCCCTCTCTCCCTCATCCCCCAACCTCACCAGAGGAACAGCATTCCACACTACGGCCCCCACCCCCAACCTTTTTCCCACCCACATCACAAAGCTCCACTAACACACTGACCACCACCACTAACCCTAAACTACAGGATGCGGGGCTTGGTGCTGGTGTTGGGGGTGGGGTGACAGGGCAACCAAGGCATCTCTCTATGAAGGTTGGTGGGGTGGGGGGTCAGGGTGACATTCCTAAGATAGTTGTTTGGCAGAAAGATGTGAAAAAAGATATAAACTGACGAGGAGCTCAAATGACCAATACCTCACCTTGATAGTGATGTTATCACAACAAGATCTTTTTTTGTTGCCAGAAGCTGATACCTTCACTTTGTTACAGGTTTGATGACATTAGATGGATCTGCTTGTTTAATAAACAATGGACCTGCAGGCTTGAATGTTTAACTGCCTTTTTATTGATTCACCTGAAGAGAAAATAAGTCTTCTTCTTCTTAACATGTGCAAAAAGCCTTTCCACCTCCAAAACAAATGTGAGAAAGTTAAAGGGAGAATAGGTGTGGCACAGGTATGGAAATAAATACCTCAGACTGGTTAACGCTTCAAGGGAAACCCCTTAATTCAAAAAATCCTTGGGTGGGATTGTAAGATTTAACTGTCACGCAGGGCGCAAACTGTTGACACAAGAACAGCCGTCCATTAATTTGCCAAATCTTTTTTGATAAAACGATAATCCCGTTTCTTTGATTTTGATGTGGAGCGAAGCTTTATCCTTCTTGTGTCTTCTGAGTAAATGTCTGGATTCTTTGTTTGTGAAAACCCATAGGAAACCCGACAAAACATACACTACAGTGCTAGGGGAGTTATTTTGGAGAGGGCTTTTTCTAACAAAACAAGACTGAATCTCTAAGAAAACAAGGATTAAATCACACAAACATCGCCTTAGAACACAGTTGTGAAAAACACAATCAGGCATCACTGTGGACTATAAAAAAAAGATACCGGTTTCAAAAAGGAGCATGTTCTGTTACATGGACTTCCCAGTAGCAGACACCTCTGCTCACATTACTGTTAATCCACTTCCTCTCTTCAACATTCTACCATCCCCACCCCCATAAGTCACCCTCACCTACCACATGGCTAGTCTCACACAGGTAAAGCATTGGGGTGGGGAGGGGATTCCTTTTCTTTTTATCCTTCAAGGACCTGATGTGGAGGTGCCATTTGTGGGGTCTAGAGTAAACTACATTCGAATGTGTCTGGAAGCGAAGGGAGGCAAAGAAAGACATCAGAGTGGAGAGGGACAATAGAGGGACTTCTGCCAGGACAAAGAGGGGCTTGGGGCACGGCTGAGGGGTGCTTGATTCGGATGCATGGCTCCATTGTCAACCGGCACAAAGGCCAGCGAACCGTGGGACTTAATTTTTCCTTGACGCGTGGCTGCTAATTTTAGGATGGGAGGGCTTTTCTATTTTCCAGATTCGCTATGAGTCCATCGTTATGTTTTCAAAAAAAACAAAAACAAAAATCCAGTGCTTCAGTTTTAAACAACTCACATAAATGTATCTCAGCAGTTTACCCTTTCTATTTCTGTCTTATTAACATTATGATGGCAAACCTGTAATATTTGACCCTCCTGGATGAGGATGTGGCGACAGTGGAGAGACCCTTACATAGTTCTGAACCCCTGAGCGTACATGTTGCAATGGTGGAGACAAAACTTCTTAACAGGAAGAAACAAACCTCTAGTAGACACAGGCTCAGTGTGAAAGGCCATCTGCCATGATGAACTAGGGATTTGAGACAGCGCACAGAAAATGTACACAGACACACTGAAACAGGAGAACTTTTTAAGTGAGAGAAAAGTAAAAGGATAATAGCAGATGAACTCTAAGCCAGAACTAAGTTAAGTTGATCAAATAGGGCACATGTCCTAACCCGATGAGTTTCTACACCTCAGCTTTGAGATACTTTATAGGATGATAGAGCGAATGCGTGTGTAGCACTTGTGAATATCAACTTATTTAGGTAGATTTCAGGGGTCCATAAGACTCCATCACTTTTATTTAATAATAGACAAGGGTTTTTTTTGTATTTATAGTAAAGTAAAAGACCAAGCAAATGATCTGAAACTGATCTGATATGTTGTGGTACAGTTAGAAAAAGCCCACCTGGGTAAAGGAACAAGCCTGGAGAAACATTCATTGGACATCAGCTTGCATTTCTAAATTAATTTATTTAATTACACCAAATGCATCAGTTTTAATAACAAGATTTCGGAAATCACTACCTGTCCAATAAAGTCATCTTCCAAAACCTAAATTCTAAGTCCTGGATACCTCAAATAGCAACTTTTAATATATATATATATATATATATATATATATATATATATATATATATATATATATATATATATATATATATTTTTTTTTTTTTTTTTGCCGACACCATCCCAAAAGTCTGTGCATGTGTGATATTGGTGTATAATTTTCTATATATTTCTATATACTGGTGTATAATGTTTTTCTTAAATTTGTATTATATGGTGTCAGGCAATACTCTTTAAAAGAGGCAAATATATATCCTTTTGGCTGCGGGACAATACAATAAGCACACACTAATAAAATCCAAATGCATTGATTATGAAAAAGAAACCGATGATTGGAAAAAACAAAACAATTTTTTAAATTTATTTAAAAAAAAGAAAAACTAAATACAAGGCTGTATAGATTTGAAGATGTTCAAATTTAACACTGATATGTATTTTATCTAAATGGGTTAAAACATAAATTCAGAAATCTCAAGGCATTAAAAACTAAAACAAGATTATATGAGAGCAAGGGGCGATTCAGGAGAATAACACCTAACATTTGTTTAGGCTGAACCCTTTTATACCAAAGATATGAGCTGCAGATTTCTATCCTTAACTAAATTCGTAATCAAGTATCTGTATGCTTCATCCTGAGCCGAAGGAACAGCGAGAAACAAGAGCTGCATTTGTGATCATGCAAACTTTATGCAAATAGTCAAACCTCTTCATAGCCCAAGTCAGGAGATTGGTCGTGCGCTGACAAGGAAATATATCTTAACTGATCCTTTTCAAAGAATTTAGCTGTAAAACATGATGTACCTCTATACTGCACAAACAGGCAGAGGGGGTTGGTGAGGTTCAACAGACAGGAGAAAGCCTTTAATCACTTTATGACAGGAACTCTGAGGTGAATGAGCAGCTAGTAGAGATTCCTCTCATTCACATGCTAAACCGTTATCTTATCAGAGGTGGAAGGTCTTTGCTCACACATGAGACAAGGGAGAACATGTACCCACCTTACTAACTACCAAACACTTACGATCTTACAATGATGGGTTCTAAATTATCTTAATTTTTCCTTTGTCATCTAATAGAAAAGTGCATAAATAAAAAGGAATGAAAATTAATAGTTTAGCCATTTTAATGGATAAGAAGCATGATCAGCAAAATCTTACTTAATCTAGAAGAAAGGCACTACGTTAAACTATATTAAAAAAAGATTACGTTTTGCTTTTTTACCATAAATGTATGTGCACATCTAAAGGAGGATAATAAACTATTTTTCTTGATCTGTTTATATTCATGCAGCTACAGGGGCTTTGCTTTAAATCCTTTAAGATGCATAAACCCAACCTTAGACAGTGTATAAACCCGAAATTAACTTCTTTTCTTTTACACAGATCAAACAATATAAACTGGGTAAATGGGGATCTTTTTTCATGTTAAATTTTCACAGATTTTTCAGTTCTGTAATATTTATCTTAAAATCGTTTTTTTTTTGTGCTGCCCCAAGTGGTTGAATGGTGGCTATTGCTGTTGAATTTTTCTATAGGTTCAAGTGGAACATGCAGTATGTCCTTTTATCAGAGTAGCCCCAGTTCAGATTTATATACAACTCAGACACAACTTCATATCGAGTTCTCCTATCCTTCGTTGCTTCGGTAGCACTAGCCTAGCACATTGCAATGCTAGCACATTAAACCACGAGGCTAAAACTGGTAAGCTTCTTTCGCAAGACTCCCTCCACTTCTGCTGCTGATGGGGGGTAAAATATGCCCCACCCCAACAGATCTCTCTGTGGTGTAACTATGGAGATGCTTCAAACTATGGAGCTGGTTTCATATGTATTCGGTTTAGTGCCTGCCTTGTGATGAAACCACTAACTGACCAAGAAGCATTTTGTAATAACTCAGACCCAGCTTCATCATTGCTCTGTTGGGCCATTAGCACTGACCACGGCTGTACTAATGCTAAAAGGGGCGGGGTTATCTTTTTACATGGGGTGAGTTTTCCTTTAAGCAAGAGCTCACTGGGGCAGAAGGTTTCGGAACCTCAAAATATAACATTTGAAATAAATAGATTTCATGTAGACATATTTTTATAAGTTTCCATGTGCCCCCCTTGAATTATGCAGATATAACAAGTAACCAAAACTTTGTAGTTACAAACACAAATCTAAACCCTCTCCACCACACAAAGATATAGCTGCCAGCTTTAACTGGATCATGAGCATTTCACCCCATCGCCATAATCTTTTATTTTCCTGTCCACAGCTGGCCCTAACGATCTGAATATGGCTGGAATAAGCTTTCATAATCAGTGATGTTTGATTGTGGCTGTGCTATTACAATTAGGATCAAATAGGATATTAACCATGCAATATGAAACACATGCTTCGATTTAAACCACCCTGTTAAACACCACTGTGATGATTTTAAGGGTTGCCGTCCTTCCCCAGTCTCAAATCTTTTGCAGCCTACAGTAAGTTTCCTCAGATGATCACCCTGCATTTAGTCCAACTGAAATCTTATCAACTCAAATCTTTTGTTTTTAAGAAAAGGACCCCCTCAACATGATGCTGCCATCATCCTGTTTCACCTTGCTGTGTTTAGAGCGCTGTGCAGTTACATCTGCAATTAAGTGGTTTTATATTTTAACTGATATATGATACTTATAACCAGCTGCTTGTGTTTTTGATAATCCAAATCCCATAAATATTGTTTTAAAATATGTAGATAAAACATTGCACAACATTATCTCATAGAAGTTAGATTAAAACCCAAATAACAAAAGCACACTTCTATCTTACCTCTGATTGCCTTTATATCACCACTTAAAGCATTTACGCATGTCAGTGAATGACATAGATCTGTGTTTAATGCTAATATTTTCCATCCAGACCATACAATTTTTGGCTTGTCCTTAAATGCCTTTAATATAACCAAGGGTTTTTCATAAAGTTCACTCCAAAAGTTGTGTTTTTCCAGATTTTTTGTTTACTGCTGGCACAAATTATTACCGGAAACTATGGTTAATATCTCATAAAGATTAACGATGAGTCTCTTATGTAAAGGCTAAAATAAAATGCATATCGAGGGAGGACTGAGCATTCAAAGAGAAGTTTATCATAATTAAATATTGTGTCTCTGGTCTGGGTTTTATATGGTGCCTGATCTTTTGAAGAAACATTTAAGAATTGGCTCTATACTGAAAGAAATAAGTATCTGTTTTTGGCATTTCTTTTATGTTAGCACAATATGACATAAGAAAGTTGTTTTGAAGTAACTAGATATAACTAGTTAGATGCCAAAAATTGTTATGAAAAACTAGACAATAGCTTTTTTGTGTGACTGCATTGTATTAGACACATTCTTAATCATATTCCTTCATATGTAGTTAATCTGCTGTTTTTTGAAGTGCTTTCAGGTGATAATCATTGTAACCTGGACTATATTACAAATAAACTGAACAGAAACTTGTGTGGTTTTTAAAACTGACAGTAGCCCAGGAATCCATCTCCTCTTAAAGCTGCCTCTGTGTGAGAGAGCTTTATATATTTTGTCTTCCTGCTAAAAAAAAAAAAAGTAGGCCCATTGATCTCCAATTACAAAAAGTATTTTCCTAAAGAACAGGGGAAAAAAGCTCACCACCCAGCCAACATGAATCTCAATTTTGTTTTTTTTTCATGGAATGAAAGAAAATAATGAAGGAACTTAGACTAATTAGGTTGAATTAGAAACAGGTGGGTGAAACGAAATTCATCAACATGAATAAAACATAAATAATAAAAAATGAGAGAAAAATATGTGGAATTTCTTATTTCTTTGTTTAGGTAGGAAGAGCCGGACCTACCTGATGGACAAATACATCAACCGGTTCTTCCAGCGGCACTCCCTCCCTGTTGGTCATGGACAGGAACCCGAAGCCCATGCGGACGTTGAACCACTTGCAGACCCCAACCCCATGGAAAGACTGCGCGTCCTCCTCTGTGCTGGGTCCCTCATCTCCCTCCGTCTTACACACTCCTGCAAAACAATCACCTTATTCGCTTTTTGATGCAGATATAAAGATTATATATATATCCCAACTTTATTAAATTGTTAATTTCCACATCTCATTGTTTTTTGCAAATCAGCAACTAATCAATACAAATCAATGACTGGGCACGCCATGCTCCTGTTTTAGTGTGATACATTTCCATTTAAAAACCGGTGATTGCCCAATCAGCAACATGGACAAAACTGGCATTTAAATATCTGAAAAGTAAAAAAATAAAATAAAAATAATAATAAAAACCAAATGAAATGGTAAAAGTTAAACCCAGTGCTTATCACACTAACTGAACAATGGCTCAAAGCGCTCCTCTCCAATCGGTGGATCAGAAAACAGCTTCATTAACTCTCACAACATCAACGTGCTGCTCAAAAAGTTTTTACTCCACCTGGGAACTCCTGGTTAGAAACGGAACCCATGTCGTCTCCCTCAGCTTTGAGTCAAAAAATTAGCACCCAAGATACAATATCCTCTTTTTTTTTTTTTTTTCTAATTTGCAGCTCTCAAACTGGGTAATCCGCACAGATTGCCACTTTCATTCAAAATGCAACGAAACGCAGAAGCTGCGCAGCGAGAGGGAAAGCGGGAGAGGGAGGTAAACAAAAGGGGGCTGGCAACCTAACCCCCCATCAACAATGAGGGGAGGGGAGAGGGAGAGTTTTTGCAGAAGAATCCCCACCACCTCCACTTCCACTACCTCACACCCCAATAACATCCTAAACAATGCCACAAGCCCTTCCCCTCCATAAGAAACACAGACAAGGCTTTGGAAAAACATATATATAATAATAATTAAAAAAAAAAAAAACATCCAGACGTTCAAACCTACCTTCTGCCATGCCTGTGGGCCAGTTTGGTCCCAGTTCTCTCCTGGATCCCTGCTTCCAGCTCCTCTGCAGTGGTCAGCACTGTTGGTCAATACAAATGACAATTTCTTAACCAGCAACCCCCCCACGCAATCTCTCGGTCATGTCCACGTGATTCACGATTACAGTCCCCAAGGACGCCTATGCATTGTGTGATGGAAGGACCAATCAACACAAAATGAATGAATTGATGTTCTGCTCAGAGCTGGACTGTGCAGCAGTGAGGTGGCTGATGTGGTGAACTGCGGTATCAGTGGTCCACAGTATTTTACTTTCAAATAAAGGTGCCATTTCCTGCAAAATCAGAATAGAATAGTTTCTGATTACTTATACCTTTCTATTTTATTCTAAAGGTTTGCATAAGAAGTTACAAATGGGCACAATGACATAGAATAATGACCTGAGATCTTAAAAGCTTGTTATCTTAGGTGACAAATTAAATGTATATTTGACTCATTTTAAACTAGAAATCAAATATGTATTTATTAATAGTAGGCTATAAGTATTTTATTTTAGTTCCTTCTGAGTTTTTTGGTTTAAAAGAGACAAAACTCAGAAAGTTACAATAGTTCAAGGCATACAATTAGCTGTTTTTCTTTACTTTTTGCTTATGAGTTTAGACTGTTTTAAAGCCTTCACCACAAAAAAAAAAATAAATAAATAAAAAAAATAAACGGAAATCTAAATAAGTATTTTTTTTCTTATAATAAGTGCATTTTGTTTTGAATGGAGGAGGTAAGTAAAAGAGTTTGCCTATGGAACAAGACAATTTACATTTAAAATAAGAAAAAACAAGCCAATATTATCTAATTATCTTATTTTAAGAGTAGAAATACTCATTCAATTGGCAAATCATCTTAAAGGGTTAGGGTTAGGGTTAAAATTACACTTGGTTTAAGAAATGTTTACTTATTTCTGGATTGTTTTTGCAGTCTTCCATTCTTATTTTTCTTTTCTCAATAATAGGAACAAGGAGATTCGATAAAATAGTAGTGGTCCTTGAACTTTTTTGTTACAGTTGATTGCAGTTTAAATAACATTTAAATCATTTGCAAAAAAGAAAACATTCTTTCTTACCTTTTTGTTACAATGCAAAAACCAACACAAAAAACACAGCAAACAAATATGCAAGCCTGACTCGTTTTACATCAACATGACGCTGATTAAACAAGCAAACATATTCATGGATCAATAGTGATTGATCACAGAAGGTTAAGATGTGGACTCTCCTCTTTTGTTGAGTGGTCGACGCCTTAAAAAAGGAAAAAAAAAATCTAAAAAGAACTTCAAAACAAAAGAGTTAAAATCAAAATGAACAGATTTTAAAACTAAATGTATTTTTTTTAAATATGTCAAAAGGAGCAAAATAAGAGAAGGGAAATTAATGCATTTGTATATTTCTCTATTTATATTTTATTTATTTATTTATTTAGTTTTGTCTTTTTTATTGACATCAAACGAAAAGGAAAGAAACAATGAAACTTAAACTATTAATTTACTGTAATCACTGAAACGCTGTCAGAGGCAGAAATGTAATATTAATCTCCCAACTCTGTAAAAGGCTTTTAAAATATTTTATATGTGAAGACTATAAAGAAGATTAATCATGATATATGTTATACAAACCAGCATTGCATTGAAACTTTATTAGAATTTTAGAGCTTTTGTATTATTGTGACGCGGGATGGATGTGCAGAGGAGCCTGTGAGTAAATTTTTTCAATGCAGCCACAACGACCCCTTGTGGCCCCCCCTCCAAAAAGCATGACATTGGATACACACAAAACATAAAAGCCCCAATTACATGCATGTTGCAAACAGATGATACACAAAATAGGAGTTTGAAAAACGATTGGTTGTTTCTATCTGAACGTGAACGTGAAAAAATTTAGAAGAGACTAAAAGAGAATATGGAGTCAAACCAATTAATAAGCTCATACATGGTATAAGTAGCTTTTATTCATGCACTCTTGTTAACTATGGCTTTAAACCATTGAAAGTTCCTTTTTCATCAGACAATTTTAATGTTAGAGTAAATGAAAAAAATGAGCCTTGTCATGTAATGGCCAATACAATCAGGATAAAGACTCCTGGCTTTGTAGTTGTTTGGCAGATAGCCCAGGACACCCTCTAAAAACAGTATATGCTGGAAAAAGAAGGTGTTGAAGAAGTTGAATGTTAACAGCATTCATGTATACACAGAACGTTCAGTAGAAGGAAAAGGTGGGGGAGAAAAGGTCTAAAAGCAATAATGGCAAACATACACAATATGGTGAAGCAATGCATGTTTAATAATCCAGTGGGGATTTTCAATGTGAGGGCATTAACTTCCTCTGGTCCATGTTGAGTGTGGTACACGCCATGTCACCAAGCAGCACAGTGACTACCGTTAGCTCCATATATTGGCCCACACATGATTGTTGACACCTGATGCCAATTAGTGGCCACACTTTGATTGAATATGTCCCTTTGGTCACATTATTTTCATCATCATCAAATCATGTTCACGTTCAGGATTATTTCCTGAGTTTACTTTTAAAACAATTCTGTTGAAAATGGTTGAAAAGCGATGTCTGACTTTCATTTGTTCATTTTCCTAGAATCTTTTATTCATTATTTCTTATGTCAGATTCAAGTTATGTCTGTGATCATTGCGGATTTTTGCTTTTCTTGTACTAGGGACACGCACTATTTTGCCTACAACTGTATAATCAATATCTTCACTGCTTCATGGATTAAATCTGTTTTCTCCTGCCATTCAGTCCAGGTGAACAATTGAATCCTGCTAGAATTACAGTTATACACTTTCTCTCGTTGGATAATGCATTCAACAAAGCCATGTAGGTTGTTTAACACTTGGGATACTACTTATAAAACTGTTTGTTGATATATGCATGTTGATGCTGTTGGAGCAGAGACTGTCAGAGAATATTAAGATAAGAAATCAATATTTCATAAATCCTCTTTGTTTCCTGACACTTTTTGTCCTAAAAATGGGTGCTGAATTCACAAAATTAAGATGCTAGGTTTTAGTATTCATGCTAGAAAAAAATAAATGCCATATGCTCTTCTGCTGTCAACTTTGATAATGATTTTTATATTTCCTAATTTTATTATTTGAGAAGACAGTGAAATTGGATGACGGTTACAATGCGGAGATAAAGCCTCCATGGTTTTCATTTAGACAAAACCTTTTCTTGGATAAGAACAATAATATAATAGCATATCACTAAGTCAGAGGGTTCATGTTGTTGAGGTCAGTGCCTCTAAAATATGCTTTAATGCCTGGGCCATAATCCAAATCTTCCTGGACTGCACAACTGAATTTAATACAGCAAGCTGTCATAAATTCTTTGGGGATGTTAGGAGGAAATTTATAACATCAATTTATACAGTGGGAAATTTTATGCCCCCCTTATGCATACCTCTTATGGGGATGTTTAATTCCAATAAAAATCAATCCTCTGAGTCAAAAGCTTTGAAACCAAAAGTTTTTTTCTGCTTTAAAAAAAAAGAAAGAAAAAAGAACAATCAGAAAGTAAATGCAGATATTGGATAAAAATATCCAGTCTACGTCTGTGTGCTTCCTTAAAAATATTCAGTTTGGGGTCCTTCTGACTTATACCATTCAGCAAATATAGAAGAGTTTAAAGAAATAATATTCACTTTATGTAAATTATTATTTTCTGTACGGTGGAACAGTTTATAGCACCATTGCCTTGCAGGAAGAAGATATTTTGGTTCAATACCTGGCTTAGGATCTTTCTGCATGGAGTTTGCATGTTCTCTATGTGCATGCCTTGATTCTTTCTAGGTACTCTGACTTCCTCCCACTTTCCAAAAACACGACTGTTTGGTTAAGTGGCATCTCTAAATTTTCCTTAAGGTTTGTAGGCATGGTTATATGTCTCCTGTGTTGCCCTGCAACAAACTGGCGACCTGTCCAGCATCATGTACCCTGCCTTTTCCCCCCAGTTTGCTGGAGACATGCACCAGCCACCCCGCCACCATGACGGATAACTGGAAGAAGCAAACATTTCATCATTCATCTACCACAAAAAAAAAAAAAAAAAATATATATATATATATATATATATATATATATGTTAACAATACTGTATCCTTTTTATGTTTTATGATGCCATGATTCTAACAAGAAGATAGATGACATAATCTACTTTTAAAACTATAATCTTTGCACTGAAATGAAAGACTCATTAAAGGGTACTCAGTTACTGCTTCTACATCACTAATCCTTTTTAGGTTTAGGATCCAAAGAAGCTGCTCAGTTACTGTTTAGGTAATCATATTCCATCTCCATATATATATATATAAACTTAAACATGCTCAGTCAGTTCCATCTTTTCATAGGAACACGCTTGTTTCATGATTAAACCACAAGATGGCAGTAATAGAAATGAGTCAGTTTTGGAAAAGCAACCACCTGTGTTTTAACCCAGGAAAATTTGATCTTTTTTTTTTTTTCTTTTAAATCTTCTTACTCCAGAAACTATGTATACTCTAAGAAGTTTTTGCCTCATAATGAAAAAGGCGTCGTGTTCCGGCTGTGCAGCCATGCAGACTTCAGTCTATTAGATGACGAGGCTTTGGGTTCCGCCTCTTTTGTGTCCAAAATAGAAACTGTGGAAGCAGAAGCCAGCCAACCACAGGGGCTGTCAAAC